GTCCAGGTGGGGGGCGTGGGTAGGGTCTGGGCCAGGAATTGTCGAGTGGGGGGTCCCAAGAACAGAGTTCTCACAGGGTGGGAATGCCAGGCCAGGAGGGGGTCCAGGTGGAGGGCGTGGGTAGGTTCTGGGCCAGGAATTGTCGAGTGGGGGGTCCCGAGAACAGAGTTCTCCCAGTGTGGGAATGCCAGGCCAGGAGGGGGTCCAGGTGGAGGGCGTGGGTAGGTTCTGGGCCAGGAATTGTCGAGTGGGGGGTCCCGAGAACAGAGTTCTCCCAGTGTGGGAATGCAGGTGGGGGGCGTGGGTAGGTTCTTGGCCAGGAATTGTCGAGTGGGGGGTCCCAAGAGCAGAGTTCTCCCAGTGTGGGAATGCCAGGCCAGGAGGGGGTCCGCGTGGGTAGGTTCTGGGCCAGGAATTCTCGAGTGGGGGGTTCCAAGAACAGAGTTCTCCCAGGGTGGGAATGCCAGGCCAGGAGGGGGTCCAGGTGGGGGGCGGGGGTCCAGATTGATATCGCACACGCCTCTGGGGTCGGCGGATGTAACCGTGCAGTTTGTTGTTCCTATATCGAGTGCGCCCTCGAGGGCGCGATGTTATTCGCGCGTCGCGGTTCGATTCCGATCCCTCCTCATTCTCTTCTTCCCTCTGAGGGGGCGACGCGAGAGTACCAGGTGATTCGCGCATCGCGCAGCGAGACACGCGAAGTTGGGCGCCCTTCATTACCTCAGCATCGCTTGGCTTCCGGTCGGACCGAGGTGCAAGATCGAGGTCGGCTTGGGAAGGGCACCCTCGATTGTTCTTCGGTTTTTCCGGCGGCGGGTCTCATGCTGTTGAAGGATGTTCCTCTGTCTTAGGTCCTTCATCATCTTCGACGACGAGCAACGTATCCCCCCGTGAGCGGCAGGCTGTGTCCGACTCCGGCTCCGACACCTGCTCCCGCTGCCCTGACCCCAGCTCCAAATGCCGGGCTCCAGCTTCTGCGCAGCCAGACCATGCCAGCGCCCCTGGTGCCTTGACGCGGACTCTTGTCCCGTCTCGGTCCGACCGTATCCCCACCGCGGCGCCCAGCGGCGCACTTCCCCTAGGGATGCCACAAAGGATAAGACGCCAGAAGGCAAAGAGGTACCAATTCGGCACCAGTCTCCTTGGTAGATCTTTCTGCCCCCCAGATCGCTGCGCGATGTCGGGTCGATGAACAGGAAGAGGATTATTACAGCACCTCCAAATCAGCCAATACCAGCGCCGGCGCAAGGGAGGTCTCCACGGGTAGCTCTGGCCCCGCTGTCCGACCCTTGCCCGTGGCGGGTGGAGAGCTGCGCCCCCCTCCGTCGAGCTTATCGCGGCAGCTCTTTGAGGGGGGGGATGCCTTGGCGGCGCTGGGGCACCCTGGCCCAACCCCAGGGTTGGCGATGCCCGCTGGTCGTTGGATGTGGGTTTATGTGGACTCCCAGATCCCAGTCTTGTTTAGGCTCATGATGTTCCGACCTACGGTAGCCTTAATCACCAGAGCTTCGATCACGACCGAAGTTGGAGGGTTTTCACGTGTCGGGCCCTGGGAGACTCGTCCGGCACTGTTTCGAAGCTGTTTCGACATTTTTCTGGGTGCTCGAAATGATTTCTGGGATGTGGTGCTTCAGGACGATTGGAGCATAATTGTAGGCGTTCCCTTATTTCGAGAGCCGATCGTTGTTCCGTCTTCCCTCCTCAGAGGGCGGGCGGAGGCTCGATCCTTGTCCTTCGCCTTCCTATTTCATGACTATGCCCACTCCTTCCGGCCGACGGGTACGCCTGTCGATGATTTCCCCGAAGAATGTTTTACAATGTCGGTTACAACGGGCGGCGTCTAGTACGCAGGACCGTCAACAGAATGGCCCAGGATAATACGTTGGTTTTGGGGCGACTTTCGGTACTTCTCTGCGAGGAGCACGAGGTCATGATCAAGACACGTTCACATATTTCCAGGTGTCCTTGAAGCTCCGCGCGGAGTCCAAAGCTCCAGAGACGAGGATCGCTAGATATTTTGGAACTCCTGCAAGTTGTCATTAGCCAGTCGCAGCATGACATGATCCTCGCTCTGCCCTCTGAGGGCCGCTCATCAAAACGTATCGGCATCGGGCGTATGCGGGGGCTGCCCGGGACGGTTGGGAGGATGGGGATTGATTGATGTGTTCGACCGTTTCAGAGATCTTTTGACATGCCTGGGGCCTCTTCCCCTCCTAGGCGGGGAATTATCCATGACCACCACCTTGCGGATCGATCTTCGGGGACTTTGGCAGGCGGCTGATATTATTTTATTCGGACCCCTGGGGCCACGATGTATCCATAGCATATCCACATCCACCGCCCGTTGGGGGCCTGGGACTCCGGCTCCCTGGGCGGTTGGCAAGGATATATTTCGCCTCGTGTCCCCCTCCTCGCTTCCTCCCCCCCCTCATCTTCCTTCTCCTCCTCCTAGGAAGTGAAGTGGCTGAAGGAACGCCAGAAGCTAACAGACAGCACCCAGACCATGCTGGATGGCACCCAGACTTTCGCGGAAAAGCTCGGCTACCCCAAGTCGGAGGAGACGATTTACGGCCAGCTCATCCAGCGGCCACCAGTGACCAGTGAGCGCACCCATTGGAGATTGTTGGTGCGCCGAGGGCAAGCATGAGCGAGGTTTCTCGGAGTGTTCCTCTTGGCAAGATGCGAGCTGGTCGTGCCCGCATACAGTCAGGAAGAGCATTAGCGAAGTTTCTCG